TTGGCTTAGAGCAGATGAGAACCCACTTCAGCACTTGAATCCAGGAAGCCCGTTGTGCCCAAATGGATCCCTGATTCTAGGGGAGTAGGTTTGTGTAACCCAAGTACTGGTTTATGCCAGCCTGCGTAACGTGACTTTAGTAAAGGTGAACTCGGTACTTGGTTTGGTGCCGATACATCGGTACTACTGGGCAGCAGTTCCCGCTGTGGTTGATTCAGAAGACCTGTTTTTGAGACGTCCCAGAAATGGATCTAACTAGTTTCTGCTGAACAGGGCATTAAAAAAAGCATTTAAAAAAAGAAACAAAACTGCGCATACTCTGCTTCTAGAAGAAACCTCGTGATGCGTTAAGCAGTCAGTGATTACAGTCCACCTGAAATGTGAAGGCTGATCATTGCCCTAGTTAGTTGCATCTCAGAATTATTAGAAAATCAAGTGCTGTGAATGCTTTCTATTTTCATAGTTATTCTGCAGCACTAAGCTCTAGGCATTTATGGAGAGGCTAGGTGACTTTCACTGGTTTATACATGAGTGGAACGGTAAATGGAAGTAATTGACTACTTATACCAGTGACAGACCAAAAACTGGAGTGGTTTCTACTGTGTAACTCTTAAGGTGGAGTCTTAGAAAAGAGCATGTAGCAGCATTCTTCGCAGTTTAATGCAACTGCCAGGGCTTTGGCAGTTTTCAGAATTTGTTCTATAGACTTTGGGGTTTAAATGTGACTTCACAAACCCAAGAAGAGCACGCAGACTTCCAGAAGCATTGTTTTCAGGCAGAATGTTCTGTTCAGTGTAGAAATTGCATTTCTACTTCCATTAGGCACTTCAGAGGTTTTTTCCTAGAAGTAGTGAAACTGCAATAATGAGTAAGTCATTGCATCTGTTTGGATCAAGAGGAAAGAAATAACCTTGTGATGTGTTGGTTTTCAGTTTGGTTTCATTAACTATGAAGTGGGTGACAGCAAAAAGCTCTTCTTCCATGTCAAAGAAGTTCAGGATGGTGTGGAGCTGCAGGCTGGGGATGAAGTGGAGTTCTCGGTAATCCTGAACCAGCGCACAGGAAAATGCAGTGCCTGTAACGTGTGGCGTGTCTGGTGAGAATTTAGAATTAAAGTGACTTAATCTGGCACGCTGTCTACATCGCAGCAGTGGAGTGCATGCTGCTTCTGAACTGAGCTCGCTGTTCCTGGCATGGGACCTCTGAACTGCAGCTGGCTTCAGTGAGAGCCTCTCACCTGAGAAGTGCCAGCACTTGCAGGGTGTCCAGTACAGTGCAGCAGCAGAACTCTCAGCCTTTCCTAATTACAGACAGCTTGTTCTTCTTTCAATCTCTTTTTAAGAGGCGCTGCCCCCAGCAGGAACTTGGGTACAGCCTTCTAAGTAGAAATGAATGAATGAAAAGGAAACCGGTGGCATTCCTATGTAGTTGCTGGCCTCTCTGGCCACCATAGTACATAGTGCTTCCACCTGTTTCCTGAAGAGCAACTTTCATTTTTAAATAGAAAACCAGTGTTGTTAGGCACTCTTCTTTTTGGCATGTCATTTCTTAAGGGTGGTGGGTTTGGTTTTTTTTTTGCTTTTGAACTACTGGCACGTTTTGAAGAAAACTGCACATATTTGGATTTTGGTTAAGCTTGAAATAGCTTCCTGTTGCTGTAGAAGTTTAATTTTTTTCTCTCAAAATTCTGTTTTCATCATCTTCAGAGATGTTAATGCTGTGCCATTGCATACTGGCGACTTGTAAGCCCTTTTATTGTTCCAGTTAAAGGGAACGGAAATGTAGCAACTGCTACTTGTGTGTGCCTGAGAGTAAATGCAGCACCTCCACTCGCTAAAGCATACCCTTTTGAGAATACTGTTTTGAGCTACTGCTATTTCAGAGTCCTGTGTTTAAAGTAATGGTTTTGAGCCAGACGTACGTGGTGTCATCCAGAAGGTCCGCTGTCACGCGAGACAGATGATGGCTTAGTGGGGAAAGTGACTATAACTTAGGGGGCTTGCACCATCCCTGGGAAGTCATCAGTGCTCTGTGTGGTTGACTCTCTTACAGTGAAGGCGCCAAGGCTGTTGCTGCTCCACGTCCTGATAGACTTGTTAATCGTTTAAAGAGCATTAATCTGGATGATGCCAATGCTCCTCGTCTAACAGTTCTTCGTCAGCCTAGGGGACCGGATAACTCAAAGGTACATGAGATAAAAAGCTAGCTTGCAGAATAACTGCAGTTTGTGTTTTAACTTCGATACCATAACGTTGCTTCCACTGTTGGAAGGCTAAACTGTTTGAAAGGTGGTGTCCGCTTTCATCCATAGTGAACGAGTCACCTGCTGTGTGAGATCAGATTATTTTTGTGCGTAGTCAGGGGTGCTGTGCCCTGTGTCAGTAATGTATGCTGTGGTTTCTGAAGAGCACACGGTATAGAAGCAACCAATCGCTTGTTGTGTTCTACCCCATAATGGCTATCTTGGTTCGTTTTTTCTTTTGAAAACCTCCTGCTCCCCTTCTCGGAGACAGTAAGTGAAATCCCTTTGTCTAAACTTGGCTTTGACATAAGGTTCTGCCACCACATGATGAGCGGGGGTAAAGTGTCTGAGATCTGCGAGGTATCTAGGCCTGTAGAGAGCAACCCGCAGAACCCGTTTTGTTACTGCCGCTGTTTCTGAAGTCAAACGTGGCTGACTGGAAATGTGCTAATGCTGTGCTCGGTTGGAACAGAACAGGTTTGCTTTAAAGCGTGATGCCGGAGCTAAAAGCTTGTTTTGTTTTCCTTGCAGGGATTTGGTGCAGAGAGAAAGATCCGTCAAGCTGGTGTTATAGACTGATCCACAAAACCCGTACCTGCTGTACGACTGAGTGGTGGGGGCTGGTGAAGGGTACTGAATATCTCCCTATTCATCCCTTCCTCCAAATTCTAAGAAGCTGTTACACCGGTTTTAACACCTTCTCATGTTATGTTTAAAATAAATTTATGAAACCATTTTAAAATTATGCACAGTTGCATTCTGGAGAACTTAAGGTGGCGCCTTATAGTATCACATTTTAGAAGCTTGTTTTGAATGGTGCATTTAACGCAACTGGTAACTGCAAATCTACATTGCCTATGTGAGTAAACATTATAGACAGCTCTACTCTGGTAGACCTTACGGAATTCTGCACTACAATTATCTATGCTTTATCTTTGTTATTTTGGCCAAGGTGTTACTATGCCTTAGTGCTCAGTTGCATTATGTCTTCCCTTCCAAGTGGAGGCGGGAGGCTCACTTCAGCTCACTCTGCTCGAATCCTGAGGACCATAGGAGGGTGGAATTAAGTTCAACTTTAGATAAAATCTGTATGAACATTCAGATAACTTAAGTTGATGGCCAAACGTTAACAATGTTTTCATATTTCATTTAACTCGAGTCCTTTAGCCAGCAAAGTTGTTAGAGCTCAATGAAAGTCTCTTTCCGGGGCAGACTTATTTTTGTAGCGTTCTGAAACACGTGCAGTGCAGAATTTCATAAGGCTGAGGTGTGCCATCAGTGTGGTAATTTAAATATATTTAAAACAATGCACAAATCTGCTGCTGCTTAGAACACTGCAGCTTTAAACCCAGTTTCTTTTACTGATTTAAATTTAAAAAGAAAGAAGTTGTGCCTGAAGTGAATACATTTTTTTTTTTTTTCTTTTTTGCAGCCGGCACCCAGTGTACTGTAAAAGAATAAATACTTAGGCTTTCCATAGCTGTATTGAGACTTTCATCAAGGTGAAATAGTTGATGTCTGTGTGCTTTTTTTTTT